AAATAGACTGTACATTAGCAAATATTTATTGCCCGAATTAGAAACCGGACGTATTCCTAAAAAATACTCTGAGGAAGTTAATGGATTTCAAAAAAGGCAATTTAATTGTGGCAGGTGATTTCAATCTCTGCATGGCTTCCCAGATGGATATGACGTCCCCTGTGCAGAGAGATGGTAGTAGGTCTCTGAAATCCTTGAAAAAAATATATAATAATGTCAACTTGTAGATATATGGAGAATTAAGCACAAAGGACAGAGACTATATGTTTTATTCTCATGCACATGAGATGTATTCAAGACTGGATTATATATTGCTGGACCATCGAATTATCAAGTCTCTGGTCAAAGTAAAAATTGAAGTGACGTCAATATCGGACCATGCCCCTGTCACAATGCAATTATTATAGGGAAATGATCGGGAGGAAAAATATGGAGGTTAAATGAGACACTTCTCCAGGATTCAGAGGTGGATCAAAGAATTAAAAAAGAAATAGAGCAATTTTTTGAGGTGTCCGTAGCAACAGCGTGGGAGGCTCATAAGGAATTCTGATAGCGATTGGAGCAAAATAGAAGAGGAAAGAAGAAAAAAAAATAAACACGCTTCTTAGTGAACTCTGTGAGTTAGAGCAGATACATAAACATAAAGTAACAAAAGAGATTATGCAGAGGGTAATAAATAAAAGTGATGAATTAAATACATTTCTGGAAGAAGATAAAAGAAGAGTGTTCAATAAAATGATAAGCGAGAGATACAGATGGGGAGATAGGCCAGGAAAGTATTTAATGGGGCTCAGAGAAAAAAAAAATCTAGGAACTATATAGAGAAAATAAGAGACCACAAAGGAGAAATAATGTATTCAACTAAAGTTATAGCTAAAGTGTTTAAAGAATATTATAATAAGTTATACAATATTATCCCACACAGTTCAATAAGTAAAGATGTAGTAGGAAAAATAGAAAAAGACAGACATAATTAAAAAAAGCAGGATTACCAAAATTAAGTGAGGAGCAATTAAAATCCCTAGAATCAGCAATAACGCAGGAGGAAATACACTTAGCATTAAAGAGCACTATAGCTGGGAAAAGTCCAGGACCTGATGGATACACAGTGAGATATTATAAAAAATATAAAGAATTATTAGTACCTAAACTGAGGATATATATGAATGCATTGGGAGGAGAGATGGAAATGAGGAGGGAATCCCTACAAGCCCATGTAGTTCCCATACATAAGGAAGGTAAAGAAGATACTCACTGTTCAAGTTACAGACCGATTTCCTTATTAAACACAGATACCAAACTATATGCAAAAGTTCTGGCAAACAGGTTGAAAGACCTAATGTCGGAATGGGTACACATAGACCAAGTAGGCTTTGTCCCAGGGAGAGAGGGTAGAGATAACGGGCTGAGATCTCAGTTTCTCATACAAAAAAGTAGGAAAGAGAAAATCCCTGCGGTGGTACTCTCTATCGATGCTGAAAAGGCATTTGAAAGAGTAGATTGGGGATATATGTTGGATACATTGGAAGTATTGGGGATGGGACCTAGAATGAGAAAGTGGATAGGGAAGTTATATAGTCAACCCTGGTTAATGGGGAATTGTCAGAGTATTTTGGGATGCAGAATGGAACTAGACAGGGATGCCCTTTGTCTCCATTGCTATATCTTTTATCATTGGAATCTCTTTTGGCAACAATAAGGAATAATATAGATATAAAAGGAATTTGGATATGAGATACGGAGCATAAGGTGGCAGCTTATGGAGATGACATGCTGTTCTATGTGGGAAACCCAAGAATAACATTGCCAAATTTAATGAAATTATTGAAAGAATATGGGGAGATGTCAAATTTAAAAATTAACCCAACAAAAGCAGAAATTTTAAACATAAATCTTCCAAACAGAGAGAAAAATAGGTTACAGGAGGAATTTCCCTTTGGAGAGAAAATGAATTGAAATATCTAGTAATAAAATTAACTGTATCCTCCAAGAACTTGTATAAATTGAATTATATCCCACTGTTAAATGAGATGAGGGATGAACTAAGGAAATTAAGAGGGGGAACCCCGTCATGGATAGGTCGTAGAAATTTGATAAAAATGGTGATTGTTCCAAAAATATTATATAAATTTCAAATTATACCAATTAAACTACCAGAAGTATACTTTAGATCAATTAAAAAAAGGTTAATAAGATTTATTTGGAGGAATAAAAAAAACGAGTATAAACCAGGAAATTTTATGTAGAAATAAAGAGAAAGGAGGATTGGGAGTCCCAGATATAAAAAGATATTATAACTTGGTAATAATGGCGAGAATTGTTGACTGGACATATAATGCAGAGAGGAAAAGCTGGGTTACAATAGAAAATATACTAAGTAATACAAAATTAAGTGGAATTGTATGGTTACCTCCACAATAGAGAGGATTAGCAGACAGTACAAGTTTGTTCACATTTAATGTTTTGAGTTTGGGATATTTTACACAGATGGGATGGGAATATAATTCACTGTTAATGCCCTTAGGGTCCAGAGTTTTTCCCCCCGGGTAAAAAGGGTATCACAGGGAAGTGGATGAAGAAAGAAGATGCACAATTAAGGGATATAATGGTGGGGGAGGAAATAGGATCACTTAAGGAATTGGAATAAAAAGGCAAAGTTTTTACGAGAATGGATGAGTGGCGTTATTTTCAATTGAAACACTTTATAGGAAAGCTTCCAAAGCCTTTAAGAATAAGAGAGGATTGGAATCCTTTTGAGCACTTATTAGGTACATGGGAGATGGGAAACACAGAACCTCTAAAATATATAAGATTCTCACTGAAATAAATGCAGATATACAGTTGCAACAAAAAGTATGTGAACCCCCTTGGGATTACGTGGAATATTGCATGAATTGGGCATAAAATGTGCTCTGAACGTCATTTAAGTCACAACAATTGAAGAACACAGTCTGCTGAACATAATACTACACAAACATTAGATGTTGCCATGGTTTAATTGCACATAACATGTAAACATTCACAGTGCAGGGAGGAAAAAGTATGTGAGGCCCTAGCTTAATGACTTCTCCCAGAGCTAATTGGAGCCAGGAGTGAGCCAACCTTGACTCCAATCAGTGTGATGATATTGGATGTGTTGTTGACAGCTGTCCTGCCCTTAAAAAACACACACCTGTTTTGGGTTTACTGGTTTCAAGAAGCACTGTCTGATGTGAACCATGCCTCGCAGAAAAGAGCTCTCAGAAGACCTACGATCAAGAATTGTTGACTTGCATGAAGCTGGAAAGTGTTACAAAAGTATCTCCAAAAGCCTTGATGTTTATGTGTCCACGGTAAGACAGACTGTCTACAAATGGAGAAAGTTTAGCACTGTTGCTACTCTCCCTAGGCGTGGTCATCCTGTAAAAATGACTGAAAGAGCACAGCGCAGAATGCTGCATGAGGTAAAGAAGAATCCCAGAGTGTCAGCTAAAGACCTACAGAAATCTCTGGCACATGCTAACATTTTTGTTGACACATCTACAATAAGGAAAACATTAAACAAGAATGGAGTACATGGGAGGACACCACGGAGGAAACCATTGCTGTCCAAAAAGAATATTGCAGCACGTTTGAAGTTTGCAAAAGAGCACCTGGATGTTCCACAGCACTACTGGCAAAATATACTGTGGACAGCTGAAACCAAGATTGAGTTGTTTGGGAAGAACACACAACACTATGTGTGGAGAAAAAAAGGCAAAGCACACCAACATCAAAACCTCATCCCCACTGTAAAACATGGTGGAGGGAGCATCATGGTTTGGGGCTGCTTTGCTGCCTCAGGGCCTGGGCGGATTGTTGTCGTTGATGGGAAAATGAATTCCAGAGTTTATCAAGACATTTTGCAGGAAAACGTACGACCATCTGTCCACCAACTGAAGCTCCGCAGAGGATGGGTGATGCAACAGGACAATGACCCAAAGCATACAAGTAATTCAACAAAACAATGGCTGCAACAGCACAGAATACACCTTCTGGAGTGGCCCAGTCCTGACCTCAACCATTGAAATGCTGTGGCATGACCTTAAGAGAGCGATTCACACCAGACATCCCAAGAATATTGCTACACTGAAACAGTTTTGTGAAGAGGAGTGGTCCAAAATTACTCCAGATCGTTGTGCAGGTCTCATCTGCAACTACAGGAAATGTTTGGTTGAGGTTATTGCTGCCAAAGGAGGGTCAACCAGTTATTAAGTCCAAAGGTTCACATACTTTTTCCTCCCTGCACTGTGAATGTTTACATGTTATGTGCAATTAAACCATGGCAACATCTAATGTTTGTGTAGTATTATGTTCAGCAGACTTTGTTCTTTTATTGTTGTGACTTAGATGACGTTCAGAATACATTTTATGCCCAATTCATGCAAAACTCCACGTAATCCCAAGGGGTTCACATACTTTTTCTTGCAACTGTAAGTCCTCCATATATAGAAAAATGGGAAAGAGAAATAGGAGTAACAATAGATGCGGAAAAACAGAGGAAAATGTATAGAATAATCCACGGAAATATAAATATGCAGGAGGTAGAAATGAATTGGCAAGATGTTATATCACACCGAGTGTGGCACACAGATTGAGTGGAGATAATTCACCTTTATGTTGGTGTGGATGTGGAGGTAGGGGTACAATGTATCACATATGGTGGGAGTGTTCTAAAATACAAGATTATTGGGGGAAAATAGTAAGCTTGTGTAACGGAAGCGCAGGCAGAACAGAGCACACGGAGAAGATGGGGAACACACAAAGCTTTATTGAAGCAACAAAAGGACAGACACTCAATGGGGAAATGGCAAGGAGGGTGATGTGTGCGCAAACCAGGGACGATTCCATTCACGGGGGGGGTCTGCAGCGACAGGCAGGCAGTCTCCCTCATAGACTTGGGGCCTCAGCCGAGCTCCCTCCGTGACTGGACAGCGGATTGGAGACTCGGGCAATAGGCGGCAACCTACCACTGGGCCTCGGGCAACAGGCGGCAACCTACCACTGGGCAGGGGCCTCGGCAACAGGCGGCAACCTACCACTGGGCAGGGGCCTCGGGCAACAGGCGGAAATCTACCCCTGGGCAGGGCCTCGGGCAATAGGCGGCCACCTACCACTGGGCAGGGGCCTCGGGCAACAGACGGCAATCTACCCCTGGGCAGGGCCTCGGGCAATAGGCGGCAACCTACCACTGGGCAGGGGCCTCGGGCAACAGACGGCAATCTACCCCTGGGCAGGGGCTCGGGCAACAGGCGGCAACCTACCACTGGGCAGGGGCCTCGGGCAACAGGCGGCAACCTACAACTGGGCAGGGGCCTCGGGCAACAGGCGGCAATCTACCACTGGGCAGGGGCCTCGGGCAACAGGCGAAAATCTACCCCTGGGCAGGGCCTCGGGCAACAGGCGGCAACCTACCACTGGGCAGGGGCTCAGGCAACAGGTGGCAACCTACCACTGGGCAGGGGCCTCGGGCAACAGGCGGCAACCTACCACTGGGCAAGGGCCTCGGGCAACAGGCGGCAACCTACCACTGGGCAGGGGCCTCGGGCAACAGGCGGCATTCTACCACTGGGCAGGGGCCTCAGGCAACAGGCGGCAATCTACCCCTGGGCAGGGGCTCGGGCAACAGGCAGCAACCTACCACTCGGCAGGGGCCTCGGGGACTCAACGGGACTCTAGCTGTGGAGACTGGCCACAGCACAGCTCCCACCCAGCTTTCTAGGGTCATTGGATTCACGGGGACTCAACGGGTAGCGATGGCTCAAGCACTCAGGGGCACCACAGGTAGCTATACTCCGGGCATGCCATCAGGACACGGGTGGTCAGTGCACACACAGCGGGTCAGTTCGGAACACGGGTGGTCGGTGCACACAGCGGGGGCAGTTCAGAACACGGGTGGTCGGTGCACACAGCAGGCACAGTTCAGGACACAGGTGATCAGTGCGCACAACAGGGACAGTTCAGGACACAGGTGGTTGGTGCACACAGCGGGGACAGTTCAGAACACGGGTGGTTATTGCACACACGCGGGGACATTTCAGGACACAGGTGGTCAGTGCGCACCACAGGGACAGTTCAGGACACAGGTGGTCAGTGCACACAACAGGGACAGTTCAGGACACGGGTGGTCGGTGCACACAGCGGGGACAGTTCAGAACACGGATGGTCGGTGCACACAGCGGGGAAAGTTCAGGACACTCACGGTAAGCAGCTGGAAGACCCTCAGCGGCAGGCGGCTCCAGACAGGGACGACCAGCGGTCAGCGTTCCAGGGACAACCAGCGATCAGCAGACAGCAGCAGCTCCCAGGGCACTCAGCAGCAGACAGCTTCCAGGGACACGCAGCCACGGACAGTGTGCAGGGTCCCTCAGCAGCAGCTCCCAGGGCACTCAGCAGCAGACAGCTTCTAGGGACACGCAGCCATGGATAGTGTGCAGGGTCCCTCAACAGCAGCTCCCAGGGCACTCAGCAGCAGACAGGGTGCAAGGGTGCCCAGTAGACAGGCTTACAGACTGGCAGGGTCTCAGCTGTGGGGTCTGACCTTTGAGGAGAAGGCTCATGCAGAGCTGTGGAGACTCCCAACCCTGGGGTATTGCAGATGGCTACAGTCCTGACCTTTCGGGGGTCTGCAGAGTGCACAGGGGGGATGGCTGGTGAGGCTCGGTCCCCCTCACCCGAGCCTCCCAGCATCTTTCTGGGAGCAAGATGATTCCAGCAGCATGGACAGGAACAAAAAAAAGAAGGGCTGTTCCTGTGTGGGTCTCTTGAAGATCATGTGGGACGCGGCTAGGTTGCCTCAGTAACGGCCGGCCAGCCCTGTCCATGGAAGCCCCACAGACCTTGGAATGTACAAGGCAGAAGGGAGGGGTGGAGGGATATGGCGGGGGATGGGAGAGGAACTGGCAGTCCCTGACAGCTTGATTCAGAAAATTACAGAGGTTGATGTTCTAGCAGACCCAGAGATTTGCCTTTTTCATAGTACTAAGATCTCAGTTACAAAATACAAAGAATCTTGTTTATTGTACTATTTGATGCAGCAAAGGGACTAATATCGAAGTATTGGAGGAGACAGGAGGTGCCGAAAATAAAAGACTGGGTGGATAGGGTGGATCAAATATGTAAATGGAAGGAACTTTATCATTTGAATGAAGATAAATGGAGAGTCACAATACAAGATGGAACAAATGGGAGGAATTCAAAAAGCCAAGGCTAGCCTTAGAGGTTATGGGGGATTAACATAGAATAATATGGAAACATATTTTGTTCTTTTATAGGAATTACGATCTCCAGAAATGAACAGGAAAATGCAGAGCAGAAGCGGTTAGGGATTGGATGGGGGTAAGTATTTAAATTAAAAAAAAAAATTAGAAAATTAGAATATTACATGCAATCAATAAAACAAGGATTGTACATAGAACAATATCGGACCTCTGTAAAGTATAAGCATGCATATGTACTCAGTACTTGGTTTGGGCCCCTTTTGCAGCAATTACTGCCTCAATGTGGCGTGGCATGGGAGCTATCAGACTGTGGCACTGCTGAGATGTTACGGAAGACCAGGATGGTTCAATAGCGGCCTTCAGCTCTTCTGCATTGTTCGGTCTCATGTCTCTCATCTTTCTCTTGGCAATGCCCCATAGATTCTCTATGGGGTTCAGGTCAGGCGAGTTTGCTGGCCAATCAAGCACAGTAATCCCACGGTCATTGAACCAGGTTTTGGTGCTTTTGGCAGTGTGGGCAGGTGCCAAGTCCTGCTGGAAAAAGAAGTCAGCATCCCCATAAAGCTCGTCTGCGGAAGGAAGCATGAAGTGCTCCAAAACCTCCTGGTAGATGGCTGCATTGACCCTGGACTTAATGAAGCACACAGTAGACCAACACCAGCAGATGACATGGCTCCCCAAATCAACACAGGCTGTGGAAACTTCACACTGGACTTCAAGCATCTTGCAGTATGAGCCTCTCCATTCTTCCTCCATACTCTGGGTCCTCTCATCAGAAAAGAGGACTTTGGACCACTGAGCAACAGACCAGGTCTGTTTTTCTTTAGCCCAGGTAAGACGCTTCTGACGTTGTTTGTTGTTCAGGAGCGGCTTGACAAGAGGAATACAACATTTGAAGCCCACGTCCAGGATCCATCTGTGTGTGGTGTCTCTTGATGTACTGGCTCCAGCTTCAGTCCACTCCTTGTGAAAGTCCCCAACACTTTTGAATGGCCTTTTCTTGACAATCCTCTCCAGGCTGCGGTCATCCCTGCTGCTTGTGCACCTTTTTCTTCCACACTTTTCCCTTCCACATAACTTTCTATTAATGTGCTTTGATACAGCACTTTGGGAACATCCAACTTCTTTTGCAATTACCTTTTGAGGCTTTCCCTCCTTATGGAGGGTGTCAATGATGGTTTTCTGCACAACTGTCAGGTCAGCAGTCTTTCCTATGATTGTGATTCCTACTGAACTAGACTGAGAGACCATTTAAAGGCTCAGGAACCCTTTGCAGGTGTTATGGCTTAATTAGCTGATTAGAGTGGGACACTTTGAGCCTAGAATATTCACCTTTTCACAATATTCTCATTTTCTGAGATTGTGGATTTGGGGTTTTCATGAGCTGTAAGCCATAATCATCACAATTATGACAAATCACGGCTTGAACTATCGTGCTTTGCATGTAATGAGTCTCTCTCATATATTAGTTTCACTTTTTAAGTTGCATTACTGAAATAAATGAACTTTTGCACAATATTCTAATTTTTTGAGTTTCACCTGTAAATTAAATTTATGTAATTTACTCCCAAAAATAAAGCTTTCTTTTGGTGGTATTTGATCACCTCTGCGTTTTTTATTTTTTGTGCTATAAACAAAAAAAGAAAGGAAAAAAAGATATTTTCTCATTTCTGTTATAAAAAAAAAATATCCTGTGGCCTAAAATTTCATCATAAATTTAGGCCAAAATGTATTTTGCTGCATGCCTTTGGTAAAAAAAAATCCCAATAAGTGTGTATTAATTGGTTTTTGTGGAAGTTATAGCGTCTACAAACTATGGTATGGATACTAAAATGTACGCAGCTTTTACTTCCTGACTGCCACATTTCTTGAGGTGCTAAAATGCCAGGGAAATACGAACACTGCCCCCCCAAAAGACCCATTTTCAGAAAGTAGACACCCTAAGATATTTGCTGAGAGGGATGTTCAGTCCATGGAAGATTTATTTCTCAAAACGTTTTTGGAAAATGAAAAAAAAATTTTTTTTTTTTACACAAAGTTGTCAATTAAATGGTATATTGCTCATGCATGCCACTGGTATATATGAAATTACACCCCAAAATACATTCTGTTACTTCTCCCGAGTATGGGGGTACCACATGTGTGAAACTTTTTGGGAGCCTAACCACATACAGGAGCCTGAAATCCAATGACCACTTTGAAAGCCTGAAGGTGCGTAACTTCCTCATTTCACTTCCTCACTACCTATCACAGTTTCAGAGGCCCTGAAATGCCAGGATAGCACCAACGCCTACCCAATGACCCCTTTTTGGAACGTAGACACCCCAAGCGATTTAATAAGAGGCATGGTGAATATATTGCAGGTCTAATTTTTTGCCAAGTTTTTGAAAAAATAAAATAAGTTTTCCTTCCTTCACTTTGAAGGGATTTCCTCTCACTTCCTGTTTTGGCTATGGGACAGGAAGTGAAGAAACGTGTGTCAGGGGAGGCAGTTTTTTCTTTCAGGGATCATGAGTGACATGGATCTGCATCACTGGTGGATGTGGGAAGTAAATCTTGGGACATTTGGGTTTTTTTTTTTTTTCTGTCAAAAATTGTTTTTTTTTTTTTCTATTTTTTTTTTTTTTTTTTTTTTTGAATGAGAAGGGTTACTTTGTACTCCACTCATTCACATAAGTGGGGCCAGTATCTGGTGCCCTTATTTTTTGAGGGGCCAGTATCTGGGGCCCCTTATTTTTTGAGGGGCCTTCCAGATTGTAATAAGCCACTTACCCACAGACCCCCATATTCACCAGGCTAGGGTCGTGGAGAAGAGGCCCGTGTCCTCATCGCATCCGTGGCAAGGTACCCCCCCCCCCAGGTTGAGGGCATGTGGTCTAGTGCAGTTCATGGGGGAGGGGGGCCTTCTTGCCTCTCTCCTTTCTGGCCAGCCAGGCTGCATGCTTGGACAGTGGTTTGGAGGGACCCCACGCTTTCTTTGCATGACCTTGCCATTATAATTCATACCATGTACTGGTATGAATTATGCGGGAACCCCACGCTGTTTTTTTTTTTAACTATTTTTTTTTTAACTTTTTGCTAGTCATGTAAATGATTAGGTGACATCACTGCATCCT